TTCTCAGACGGGCACGGTTCTTAATGCTCTCTGATCGCTATGGTAACGCGTAAATAGTTCTTTCAAAATAAGACACACTACTACAACCATACATTTCACACAGGAGCCTTTTATTTCTCAGCAGCATCAATAGTAACAAAATCGTAATTTGGTCAAAGTCGACTTAAGTAAAGTTACGTGTTTCTGGTTACTGTGGAGGTCACGTGTTTCCGGTTACTGTGGAGGTCACGTGTTTCCGGTTACTGTGGAGGTCACGTGTTTCCGGTTACTGTGGAGCTCCACAGCTAAGACACACTACTCCAACCATACATTTCACACAGGAGCCTTTTATTTCTCAGCAGCATCAATAGTAACAACATCACAATTTGGTCAAAGTCGATTTAAGTAAAGTTACGTGTTTCCGGTTACTGTGGAGCTCCACAGCGGCCGCAGCCAGATCCTTGTGGAGAGAAGCGGGAGTCGGAGCCGGTGTTGTGCCATAAATCGACTCGCTGCCAAAAAATGATTAGCCACCGCGGGATCGCGCACGGTTAGGTTGCATTTCTAGACGAAATTCCCCAGGATTTCGCCCTAAAACTCAGCATTTCTAGCAATATGGACATTTAGAAAGCAGAGATAACCTCTTCCGATATTTAAAGAGATGTTTATCGCGGATATTAGTTTTTCCAGTTCGGAAGTTGTCTTAAGTGTTGCTATTTGTCTTAAACGTTCACAATGAGGATATATTAATCCTTTTTGCAATATTTGCGATTGAAAGATGGTTTGTGGTAAGAACTGGCTTTCTTTATGTTACAGCCTTGATACTAAAAAATAAATAAACTGTGTAAAATGGCACCCTGTATTGAATGTAAACGTTGTATAAATGTAAATAAACAATTCTCCAGCAATTTGATTTTTTCCCCTTCCTTTCTTTAGTCTACTTGACATGGAACCACAGTTAACTAGTTTGGAGCACATTTTTACTTGAAAAATAGTATTTAAACTGATCAAGCTTTGGCTTTAATGCCACTGTGTAGGTTACTATCTATACATTGTGTTGCTCTATTTAAAAGTAACAAGATAAAAACACTTCAGCACATAAAATTAAGATTGTTACTTGCCAAATAGTGACTACAACCTCCTGTTTACCTATAAGAAACACCTCAAAATATCTTTAAATTCTTTATTCATGATTTAATTGTAGACAACTAAAATGGCATTTTACTTGCCAAAAAGTGATTGAATCGCTCAGATTTTCATGGAAGCTAAAATTGACCAAATAAGGGTTTTATGTATTATCTGTTGATGTTACTGTACTCATACTGCTACTGTATCATCAAAAACACCCCAAAATTGGCACAAAAAAAAGATAATTTCCCTTGCCAAAAATTTATTACAGTGTCCTGGTCACGTGTAAAGGGTTAAATTTACCTAAATATTACTTTATTTATTATCTCTTGATGTTATTAGTCCCACCACAGGATGCTGGGTCTTCTCCACATTCATAAACACCTCAAAAATGGCAACAAATGATAATTTCCCTTGCCAAAAATTCATCACAGAGTCCTGGTCACATGTAAAGGGTTAAATTTACCTAAATATTACTTTATTTATTATCTCTTGATGTTATTAGTCCCATCACAGGATGCTGGGTGTCTTCCACATTCATAAACACATAAAAAATGGCAACAAATTATAATTTCCCTTGCCAAAAATTGATCACAGTGTCCTGGTCACGTGTAAAGGGTTAAATTTACATAAATATTACTTTATTTATTACCTCTTGATGTTATTAGTCTCAGCACAGGATGCTGGGTCTTCTCCACATTCATAAACACCTCAAAAATGGCAACAAATGATAATTTCCCTTGCCAAAAATTGATCACAGAGTCCTGGTCACCTGTAAAGGGTTAAATTTACCTACATATTACTTTATTTATTATCTCTTGATGTTATTAGTGCCATCACAGGATGCTGGGTCTCTTCCTCATTCATAAACACCTCAAACATAGCAACAAATGATCATTTCCCTTGCCAAAAATTGATCACAGTGTCCTGTGACAATATATGTATAAGCTCATATATGCTTTTTCTACATTATGGAATCCTGTTCATAATAATCAGTGCTTTTCTGCACAAGCTCTAAACAGCTGCGTACCTCAAAAAAGGGAGTGAGACATTCCATCTCCTCTCCGCCTTGTCTCAGTACCAGCGTGTTCCTGCTATCAAGGATGTTCCAGGATGTTCCTGATTATTTTAGAATTACAAATCTATGTGATGTATTAGTTCCTGCCTAACAAGGCAATTAGCTCCTGCTTATCAAGGCAAATGACGTGCAAATGCAGGTGCAGATGTCAGAATGCTCGCACATAATACCTATGATCACATTCCTTGTTTTCCTAATAAATATAGCTGTGTGGACAGAGAGAACTTCAGAAACACTTGGTGCAGCAGTGAAGAGCTGGGCGCGGGTCCAGCTGAAGGCTGTGTGTATCTCCCTCTGCAGCGGCGAACCAGATCGATCTTTCTGATTATTGACTCCACTCTCTACCAACGACAGATTTCCTCTCCAATACTCCGAACCTGTCTGGTCTAACAGAAGAAAGACCAACACCTGGTCACATGTAAAGGGTTAAATTTACCTAAATATTACTTTATTTATTATCTCTTGATTAAACATAATTGTACCTATTTCTGTGGTTAATTGTAAATAGTTTTTTGAAATGTTTCTCCTATTTTAACTGTAAATCCTTCCTAGCTGTTATATTTATAACAAGAAACAGATATTCGGACGAACACATTTTCATGTTTATTCGAATGTGATAACAATAAATGAAGTAATATTTATGTTGAGGCTATAAGTGAATATTTCTAGAGGTGTAGTTCCCCAGGGCTCCATCCTGGGCCCAGCTTGTTTTTATTAGTGATGCACTGATATGAAATTTTTGGGCCGATACCGATATTAAGATCTGTTATGATCGATAACCGATATTAGCCCATACTGATATACTGACATTATTGCTTCTAAAATCAGCAGATTTTGTATAGAATGAAAATTAATAAAGCTGAATTTATGTTATTATGTACACACAAAACACACATTTACGGTTCTGAGATGATTTCATTCACTGTTCACATGACTGAGTGAAACAGGCAAACAAATGGAGATGAGATGGAAAAAATATCGGTTGTTAATATCGGCCCAGTTTTATTTATCGAACCGATATGTTAGATAATATGACAAACCACGAGCCACCGATTAGCTACTCTGGGATTTGAGACATAGGACATATTTGCAAATATATTGTGCAGCATACAATGTTCAGATGTGACATTTGGAAGGACAACCCATGTGAGTGCAAAGGCATGGTCTGATTCACCCTGATAACAGTCAAAGTAGGCACCCACAGACAGGGAAACTCCCAGTGACAGCTGGAACATCTAATGAGGAAGTGGAGGAAGTGAAGCTTAGAGCGAAACAAGTAACTCTCACAGCTCATGCATCCAGCATGAGCTGCACACACACTCAACACCCAATCAGAGATAAGAAACATGAGCCCATCACGCGCTCATCGACCTATCACAGGAAGACGCACCCTAGAGGGAAGAGCCAGACTCCTACTTAAACACTCTATCTTCAGACCAGCCAGACCATTCTGAGCACACGGTGTGAGCACTTATTGTATGTTGCACCGTGTTGGTCTCCACTATCTGCAGATTGTGCATTAAAACTGTTTCGATCCTTAATTTTTGACTCGGTCGTTTTCCTTCCACATCAACCAACTCGAGGAGGTCAACGTCGAACACATTAGACCTCAACAGTTTCTCATTGCATCTCCCTACAAGGACTGTTCATTTCCCCAAGGGATGAAAGTATGCTTCAGGCGTTGGTCAGGGGGAGATTGGATTGGGCTGAGATCTCCTCCAGATGCATGCAATACATCTGTACTGACATGGACTGGATTGTAAGAATCGTTATCTTTTTTCATTTAAACTTTGTCATCATTGAGTCAAATCACTCCAAGATACAGGACCAGCTCAGCATTAAAATGACCCACAACACAAGCTATGCTGTTTTGCAAAATGCAACATAGGAAAGTATTTAAACATTGTTTTGTCACAATACTGCTGAAGGATCATTTCTGGTTGGAATCATCTTGCTAAGACTAGTTGGACTTTGAGGAGTTATTTTTCCCAACACAAGAGGGCGGTATTTCACCACATTTGGATTTAATTATTTTGACTTTTGACAATGCTTTATTACAAGTGTTATTGTATTGTTTGTATTTTTTATTTATTTATGATGAGGTCATCAATGGAATGCCAGCAAATCTAAAATAAAAAATAAGAATCCAACTGCCAGATGTTTCTGGTTAACCACGTTTTCTTACATTTACTCTTGACAAAACCTGAAAAATAAATCTGAAAATCTTTATTTTGTTAATAAATTTCATCTCATATCTCTGACATTTTAATTAAATATTTTTCTATCACAGAAAATAGCTACAGTGCACATGAACCTACTTTTTCAGATAAACAGCTACTTATTTAATGGCTGACAGGGCCATGGTCAACATGACCTCTTTCATTAGGCTTATCAACAGAATGTTGAACACACACACACACACACACACACACACACAGAGAGAGAGAGAGAGAGAGAGAGAGAGAGAGAGAGAGAGAGAGAGAGAGAGAGAGAGAGAGAGAGAGAGAGAGAGAGAGATAAAGGATGCAGGCACAGATTGACAGTGTGAGAGAGAGAGAGAGAGAGAGAGAGAAAGGATGCAGGCACAGATTGACAGTGTGAGAGAGAGAGAGAGGAGAGAGAGAGAGAGAGAGAGAGAGAGAGAAAGGATGCAGGCACAGATTGACAGTGTGAGAGAGAGAGAGAGAGAGAGAGAGAGAGAGAGAGAGAGAGAGAGAGAGAGAGAGAGAGAGAGAGAGAGAGAGAGAGAGAGAGAGAGAAAGGATGCAGGCACAGATTGACAGTGTTCACTTCCTGACAACCGATCAGGGACATTGGCAGACCTGTTTGTGCTGCTCTACCGGGGGGCCCTGATTTCACAGCCAGCCTCCGTCACCACTGCGTCAGCACTGATGAGCTCAGCGTTAGTCGGAACGGAAGGGGGGGAGAGCTGGAGGTGGGAGAGAGACCAAGGAAACAAAGCTTAGAGGAAAAAAAGGGAGAGAGAGTAAGAGGGGTGTTGCCGCCTCTGAGACACACTCACGCATCAAAGCGTAACAACGTTGGGAGGAGAGCATCCATCCAGGCAATCCCTGGGAAAAAAGGTTGTTTTTTTAATTATTGAAGCCAAACACAGACTCTTTGTTAATATTAAACATCAACAAATCGAAATATTAGAGGAGATACACTGCTTCTTGTCATCAGGAGCTCAACGTGAACTGAAGAGGAAACAGACGCATCCTTTCAGCACCTTGGACAGGGATCATGGCTCCTATGTTGTCGGATGGAACTCAGCCTGGTAAGTCCTCACAACACACCCATATTTTACCCCATACACTGATGGGAAATACTTCAAAAGACACCACTAGGCATTAATAAGTGGATTTAATTGTGGTAGATTCCATAATATTCAGGGTTTTTTTTATCCAGTTACCACTTCTTGTTTAACCCACTTTCGGTCCAATTTTACTGATGGTTTTTTTATTAAGAAAATTCAATAAGTAGAAGTTCAAATATGTTACCTTTTACTATTAAAATGTTCTTTTTTTTTACTTAATTTTTTTTATTCACAGCCAAACTTGTATGCATGTAAGTAATAATTGAGAAAATAATCAGGGTGTAGGTCAGGCCATGCTTCAGACTGTCTCAGTAGAAGCAATTATTAGAAACAGATTAAATATTTAAGTCAGAATTTTGTGTGTGTGTGTGTGTGTGTGGGCGGGGGGGGGGGGGGGGTACATTATTAGAAAGGTGAAGTGTGAAAAATCACTTATCTGTTTTATTATGCAACCATGCATCAGTTCTTTCACAGCCCTCCCATTGATTCATCCATCTGTCTGTCGCTTCAGCCTTGAAAAGCATCCCACCCAGGACTTTAATATAAAAAATTAATGAGCAGAAAGAGAGAAAACATTTCAAACATCTGCAGTGATCAAAAATTCTTTGTATTCTTAAAAATGGTCAATTACTTACATGAAACTTTAATTCTGCTTTCAGATACACAGATTTGTCTCTTTCTTTAACCAAATAAAATCAGAATAAAGTCATATTTTGTTGTTATCCAATGAAGAATAACATTTTATAATTTTCCCTCCGGTGTCACAACCCTATAATGTTAAATGTGAAGTGGCAGATACGAAACACAAGAACAAATGATCCAACATATTTGATTACGACCCAATGAAAACGACAAGAGCTTGAGTGATTGGTCACCACCCCCGCTCCGCCAGCAGCATCACTTTGGATGGGCTAATCTGAGTGCTTATCCAATGGGTCGTCCTCTTAATTGCAGGAAATGGACTGCATTTTCTCTTTTGAAATACTCTCATTAATCTCAGATGCATTAGAAGGCAACATGATAGCTACTGAGTCACGGTTCAGGACCACAATAGTGATACCACAGTAGAGGAATTAAGTCGGGTGTGGCTCTGATTGATGTAATTCTTTGTCATGATATTTTTGTGATTGACAACTTATAAATTACCAATCAGTACTAAACATCTATAGGCTACTTAACCAGTCAACCTGATACTAGAAAGATATCTATTGAATGAAAAAAAATCTCCTTTAAGCTTTTATGTTGTTTAGAAGAAGGGTCAGAAGCGGTTTCTTGGTGTTGTTGTCCATTTGTGAAGGTTGCTCAAGTTTCTGCTTGAATAAAAATGGGTGAATGGGTCATAGACTTGATAAGTGGAGTCCATTGTTATTTTCTATGCTGTGGCAAATGTCCTGTAGAGAATGGAGACAGCTATTGGTCATGTGTTTGACCACATCAAATTTGGTATATTACGTTTAGGACTCTAATCAGTCATTTACTTAACTAGTCAGGATTTAGACAGCCCCACAGCACAGAGACTGCACTGCACTGATCGAGGTATTAAACAGCATTCATCTCAACATTGATTCAGGTAAAGCATCTGTCCTGTTGATGCTTGACCTCGGTGCAGCTTTTGATACAGTGGGCCATAACATCCTTCTGGACAGACTCACAAACTGGGTAGGACTATCAGGCGCAGTGCTTGGCTGGTTCAAATCCTATCTCAAAGACAGGGGCTATGTTGTCTCATACTTAATAACAACATCGCCTATCATAGCTATGCTGATGACACCCAGATTTACCTTGCCCTATCACCTAGTGACTATCATCCGCTGGACTCACTCTGTCAGTGCCTAGAGTAAGTAAACGACTGGATGCAATCAAACTTCCTTCAGCTAAACAAAGACAAGACTGAAGTAATTGTCTTTGGTAACAAGAGGGATAGAATGGATGTTATTGCTCAGCTAGACTCCAGGGGAATAAAGACAAAAACCCAGGTTAGACATCTTGGTGTTATTATTGACTTCGACCTGAGCTTCTCTGGACAACGTAAAGCTTTAACTAAATTTGCGTTTTATCACCTTCATCAAATATCAGGAGTCAGAGGTCTCATGTCCAGACCAGACTTAGAAAAAAAATCATTAATGCTTTTATTTCTAGTTGGCTGGACTACTGCAATGGTCTGCTATCTGGTCTTCCCAAAAAAGTTGTGAAGCAACTGCAGCTTGTTCAGAATGCTGCTGCTAGAGTCTTAACGAGAACTAAGAGAATGGAGCACATGTGTGAACAGTCCCCAACCCTACCGCCCACCTAGTGGACACTTATGTTGTGTAATATCTGAAGTCTGTTGCATTTCTGTCTGAGGTGTTTTTTGCATAGCAAAACTGCCCTCCCTGTGGAGGGTAACTCTGAAGTGCCTTTTTTTCCTCCACCTGACCCAATCCTCATGTAAACCCCTCTGACCTCTATTAAGGTAGTGCGACTTGGGTTGCGAATGACCACAGTCACCAATTCTTGTCATGTGTCTATGCCTATGCATGTATGTCTGATCTCAGAATTGTGTGTACTGAAACCCTAATTTCCCTCTGGGATTAATAAAGTATCTTTGGATTTGAGTTTGAATCACTCCTGTTCGTAGATCCCTACACTGGTTACCAGTAAACTACAGAATAGATTTCAAAGTGCTCCTACTAGTTTACAAATCACTCAAAAGCATAAGACCAAAATACATGTCTTGATCTCATTCCTGTATATACACCCAATAGGGCTCTGACATCCCTTGGAAATAATCAGCTGGTAGAACCACGGGTCAGAACAAAACATGGTGGAGATGCTTTTAGTTACTATGCTGCTTCTAACATCCCTATCCCAGACTTGTGGATCGCCATTGGTGGATGATTTTGATTCCTATACATTATCTAGTTATTGTTAGATCATCTGAATTTAGGCATCTTCTATGGGTAATTTGGACTTTGAAGTGTGTGGTTGAGCGGACTCCATTGTTTTTGTCTTTCCATCAGAAATACTGCTATTTTCATTTCTTCAGTGCTATAACACAATATGTTGGGCTCATCATTTTCATGGGTGCACATTTTACGGCTGCTTGTTTTGAAATGCTTTTTTCTAGTAACACCAACAGATTTTTCTCATTTCCCTCCCACTCTCCTCCCTGTTCTTCCTCTCCTCACTCTGTGTCCTCATCTGCAGTGGCAGTGCCAGTAGGTGTTGCTGTGTTGAGTGTTTTTGGCCTCGTCTTCACTACATCAGCCTTTGCCTGGATCTGTTGCCAGCGCAAAAGCACAAAGTCCCAGAAGACTCCCCCTTACAAGTTTGTGCACATGCTTAAAGGGGTTGACATCTACCCAGAAAGCCTGAGTGGCAAGAAGAAGTTTGCTGGACCTGCCACCTCAGCAGCTAATGACAGCAGTAAAACTGATGTCAATGGAAACTGCCAAACCACCCCAATGAGTCCTTCAGGTGTCGCCAAATTGGCTTTAAGTCCCAATGGTTCCCGACAGGCTCTGCATCTTGATCTTGAAAAGCGTGATCTGAATGGCAACTTTACCACCAAACCTTTTCATCACCACCACCAGACGGTGCGGAGCTCCCCAGATTTGGAGCTGCCCTCCCCCCATGCAGGCTTCACCCAACCTGGTGCAATGGAGCGTCTTGACCTCTCCTCACCATCTAGTACTCTCTCCAGCCAAGCCCCAACCCCAGCTGTTGACAGGCCTCAGGGAGAGAAGAAGGGAGGGGAGCTAGGAATCCTCCACTTCTCCCTTGAGTACCAGGCAGAAAGGAAGGCATTCATTGTTCATATCAAGGTACTGCTCGTGTTTACATGGGTCCTGAGGTGCCATTAAAGAAAAGATTGCCTTTGTTTATTTATTTATTTATTTTCAGGAAGCCCATGGCTTGACCCCAACTGATGAGCAGTCCCTTACATCTGACCCCTACATCAAGCTGACGCTGCTGCCAGAGAAGAAGCACCGCGTAAAGACTAGAGTACTCCGAAAGACTCTAGATCCCGCCTTTGATGAGACCTTCAGTTTTTATGGGATCCCCCTGGCTCGAGTCTCTGAATTGGCCCTTCACTTCATGGTGCTGAGCTTTGACCGGTTCTCTCGTGATGAGGTCATCGGAGAGACCCTTGTGCCTTTGTCTGGGATCGACTTATCAGAGGGGCGTGTCCTAATGAGCCGGGAGATTATCAAAAGGAACATTAAGGTAAGGATTAGGAAATACTTATGTCCTTTATGTTATTTGTTGCCATGGATAACAAGTGCTTGGGAAACGAGTGGGTGGAGCTTGTGTTAGTCTTTGATAAAAGCAGGAAGGGATGTTTTTCAAATTTGTACACAAGTACTTTGTTTACGCTTACAAAAAAGAGATCTGAAGCTTTTGAATTTTATCCAAGTGAAGTTCTCATTTTTCTTTTTTGGAACATCATCCACAGTCTTAGTCATTTTGCTCAGACTAAATTTAGACATGATTCAGCCATGTTAAATGTGGTTAATGTATCCAGCAGTGGGTCTTTATTTGTCTCATTCTAACATCATTGCCTGCATCACAAGCGCCTTACATCACTGCAGCAAAGCAATTAGGAGGAATGTGGTGTTGCCAACATCAAAGTGCATAACCTACATAAAATTAATCAGTAAATGACCACTCTAAAAATCATTTATCCCTTCTAAACCTAATGATGTGTGGTTCACAAAGCTAGATTAAAATAATTTAAATGCAAAAAATGATAATGACCCTATAAAAACAAGACCACTGCTTTTCACTGTAATTGCACATTTTAACTGTTAAGTTGCCAGAAGAAGTCCTACATTGCTGCGTGTCTTCTGAAAGGTAGCAGAATAGTTAAAAAAAAATCAGTGTAGAGCTCAGATAGGAAGTGCATCTCTCTGTGGAGACAGAAAGGATTGGTTGTAACATTACGTTTATGGATCTGAAAGCTGAAACCAACATCGGGGGATGGGCTAAATAAGACTGCAATAAGGCTAGATACATGAAAGGCTTTGGAGTTTGTCCCTTCATTCCTCTCTTTGCTTTATTTGTATTCTTCCATTCGTAATATTGTGTGTGTGTGTGTGTGTGTGTGTGTGTGTGTGTGTGTGTGTGTGTGTGTGTGTGTGTGTGTGTGTGTGTGTGTGTGTGTGTGTGTGTGTGTGTGTGTGTGTGTGTGTGTGTGTGTGTGTGTGTGTGTGTGAGTGTGTGTGTGTCTGTGTAATTACAGTCATGACTATATTTTCACAAATATCCAAAGGCTGTTAGAGGGTGAAGTCATACATCTAAGACATCCATTTTGAGACAGGTCACTGCGTGCATCTCATTATTTATTCATTTAATTCCCAGAACTGAGACTGTTATGGAACTCTAGGGAGGTGATTATGGGAGTTCTGTTTCAGATTGGTTCTTCCTGGCATCGGTGAGGACCCCTTCCACACGACAACTCATTATCAGCCTGATAAAGAAATGTCATTGTTTTGCAATTAAGCTCTAAAATAAAACCCACATGCACTGGGGTTTTATTATTTGTCTTAATGGATTTGGTTGAATTGTGATAATAACAAAAAAATTACTGAAATGTTTGAGCGTTTATAGCTTCTGAGTTTTTGGCAGGTTGACTGTGAGACTCTGTTATGGGCAGTTAGGTCCCTACATGACCGGTGTCAGAGCTTGATCCACATTGCCGGCAGTAAGTCAAGCTCATTCCCAGTGACAGTTGGACTCTGCCAAGGCTACCCTTTGTCACCAATTCTGTTCATCACTTTTACGGCCAGGACGTCTAGATGCAGCAAAGGTGTTGAGGGGATCTGTTTTGGTAGCCTGAGGATCGGGTATCTGCTTTTTGCAGATGATGTGGTCCTGTTGGCTTCATCAGACAGTGATCTCCAGCTTTCACTAGAGCGGTTCACAGCCAAGTGTGAAGCAACTGGGATTAGAATCAGCTCCTCTAAATCTGAGATCATGGTCTTGAGTCGGAAAAGGGTAGAATGCCTTCTCCAGGTCAGAGATGAGGTCCTGCCTCAAGTATCTCATGGGCTTGTTCATGAGTGAGGAAAAGATGGAGCGTGAGATTGATAAGCGGATTGGTGCTCATCTGCAGTGATGCAGGTGCTGTACCAACACATTCTCACACCCAAAGCGTCAAAATATGACGCGTGTGACCAAGTGTCACAATATGATGATTTGGGATGCCCCAGCGCGTCAGGATAGGACACACAGGGACACGTTTCACCGCTGGCATCCGTATTTGACGCCCGCGATGACACGGACATTATTCCTCGATTTAACCTTCCCCTCACCCCAATCCTAACCTTAACTCAGTAACTAAGCTGGTTAAGGTTAGAATGGGGGCAAGGGGAAGGTTAAGTAGTTCACAAGTCGGTCAAATGCCCTTTTCACCTCGGGCATCGGATACCGGTGCTCTGGGACAGCGCATCCTCAATGCGTCCTATCCTGACACACTGGGGCATCCCAAATCGTCATATTGTGACGCTTGGTCACACGCGTCATATTTTGACGCTTTGGGTGTGAGAATGTGAAAAAAAGCTGAGTCAGAAGGCAACGCTCTTGATTTACCGGTCGATCTACGTTCCTACCCTCACCTATGTTCACAAGCTTTGGGTAGAGACCGAAAGAGCAAGATACATGGCCGAAATGAGTTTTCTCCACAGGGCGTCTGGACTCTTCCTTAGAGATAGGGTGAGAAGCTTAGTCATCTAGGAGGGGCTCACAGTAATCAGTTGAGGTGGCTTTGGCATCTAGTTAGGATGCCTGCTGGAAGCCTGCCTGGTGATGTTTTCTGGGCACGTCCAGCTGGGAGGAAACCTAAAAGAAGACCCTGGACATGCTGGAGGGACTATGTCTCTCACCTGGCCAGGGAACGCCTTGAGTTTCCCCCAGAAAAGCCAACCCAAGCTGGGGATAAGGACTTCTGGGCCTCTCGACTTAGGCTGTTGCCCCTGCGACCCGACTCCTGATAAGCGGAAGAAAATGGATTGATGGACTGTGAGAGAGAATCAGGGATTTGCAGAATGATGAAGTAATCATCTAACAGTGATGCTTTGTCCCTTTCTCATGAACACAACTAAGGTATAGTTAAATATTAGGCTTTAAACATGTATTATTTTAAATATAGGGTTAGGGTTAGAGTTACCCCACCCTTCTGAATACTTTTAGCATCCATTTCAAATTTATCTTTATTTTATTGCTAAAACAAATAAAATAAGATAAATAAAATGAATAAAAGAGAAAAATAATAAACCTTTCATACAAATAGTCACCCTCTGAACCTGCTTTGCCAAGATGGCTGAGAATTTTTACTTTTAGATTTATTTTTTTCTAGATTTTTTTAAGTAAAAAGAAGAAAACACGTTTCCTTAAAACAACTTGTGATGCTTTCAGTTGAAGTAAAACAATTTAGAATACAATTCAACTTTTAATCAATTTAAAATTGTTACTTTAAACTGTGCAAGACTCACTGAAATGCAGTATCCTAATTTATGTGTTTAGCTGTAGCCATTTTCTTGCAGGGTGGTGGCTTTCTTTGCCTGTAGGTGTAGGGTGCGCTGTTTTGTCACCATGCATATGTGAGCACAGACAAATTCCTGAATTAAGTACAATATAGTAATAATAATAATAATAATAATAATAATAATAATAATAATAATAATAATAATAATGCATTGAACTTATATAGCACTTTTCTAGACACCCAAAGATGCTTTAAACAATATAGTAAGTTTTATATTCCTGATAGAAAACATATGACTGCTTTTAGTCAACTCTCTGAATTTCCCCAGAGAAATGATATAAAATGCATTGGAACAATCTGTATAATGAGGTCTGAAAGTGTAACCATTTCCATGGAAACCTTTGGAAAATCCTCTTGGGTGTGGCGTGGGTGTGGAATCAGATACAATTGTGTCTGTGAAGCGCCATCAAAGTGACAAGTCTGTGACAAATAGATTTGGGAGTTTCACAAACGTGTGTTAGTCGAGATCTCATAACACCACAGAAGAAGAAGAAGTTACGAAAAGCACCTGCTTCGAAGCGGGTGTGAAAAGTGAGGACTGAAACAATAGCAGCAGGATTTCTAACCAGCAAAACTGTAGATTAGTATTAGAGAAACTAACATAATACTTTCATATACATCTGAGGCTGCGATGGACTGGCTCTCTGTCCGGGGTGTACCCCGCCTGATTGCCCATTGACCGCTGGAGATAGCCCCCCCACCACCCACCCCACCCCCCCACGACCCTACGTGGACAAGGGGGTTCAGAAAATGGATGGTTGGATGGATATATATCTGAAGGTCGACTCATCTCATCTAACATATAACTTAAAATTATTAATTAATTTCTAAAGATACCTTTTCTTGTTTTATGCCAATAAAAGCATTTTGTAATCATTGACCCATTTGAAAACTTACATGCAAACTATAAAAAAGGAAAGCAATCCGGAAGCTGAATATAGAAAAAATGCCCTCTAGTGGCTGGCTGCAGAATATATTTTAAGCTCCACCCCCTCCATGTAAACAAATGGTACATTTCATGGCATCTGCCAGTGCGCCCCAGGGAAACTGTGGCTACATCATAGCTCATCACCACCGGGGAGTGAATCTGTGCATGCATGGGTGAATGATTGATAGTGTTGTAAAGCCCCTTGGGGGGTTCTAAGACTGTAGAAGGCGCAATATAAAATAGGCCATTTGTAATACAAAAACTAAGAGTAGTAATTAAGGTGTTGACTGCTGATTCATGTAGATTTTACCCTGCTGCTGTGAATAATAATTTTCATTAACATTTTTTCTGTTTTTAGACATTTTAATGCAGTTATAGTAATCAATGTGTTAATGTATCGAGAGGTTTTCATTTAAAATGTTTTCTCTACAATGCATCTTGCTGTTGAGAGACTAGAGTTTGTTTGATGATGATGCAATGGCTTACATCAAGGTGAAGCTGTGATGTTAGGTTAACTTCAAATGAAATGGCTATATTGTAACATCTTTGATGTTTGTGATTTAAATTCCATTTTGGCTCTCATTTGGAAAATTCTAACCAGAATAATTCTGTTCTTCATCTCACTGCCATTTTTATTTCCAATCATCGTCTCTACACAGAAGTCTTCAGGGCAAGGGGAGTTGCTGCTGTCGCTGTGTTACCAGTCCACCACCAACACTCTGACTGTCGTTGTCCTCAAAGCCCGCCACCTACCCAAAACTGAAAACAATGGACCTACAGGTATGTTTTGTCTCATAATTTCAATATTATTTCTGGGACTGTGCCAACACATTTATTCAAGATACTTGAAAAGACACCAGACTAAATAAACGTTGCTCATCTAGACATGTTGTTGACTTAAGAAGTGGTGATAATTGCTTTAAGGGTTAGGGTTCACCACTGCCTGTGATAGTGACTCACACTCACACCTATACACCCAATGCTTACCCAGCCAGATTATTCTGACCTCATTGGCAATGTCCATTACTTCCTGTCTATTGATTTTTTTAATTGATCTCTCCTTTGAATAACGTCCTGCAAGTAACTGCTGTAAAGATGGATCTAAAGCACATATTTTCTAATTTTCATCTCTGTCATTCTTCTCTAGATCCATATGTCAAGGTCAACATGTACCATGGCAAGAAGCGCATATGTAAGAAGAAAACCCACGTGAAGAAGTCCTCCCCCAATCCAGTCTTCAATGAGCTCTTTGTCTTTGATTTGCCCTCAGAAGACGGGCTGAGGGACACCTGTGTAGAGCTGCTGCTGATGGACTCAGACAATGCAAACTCACGCAGCACCAACACTGTAATTGGGCGCCTGATGCTGGGCACATCTGCCGCCGGCACTGCCGGTGAGCACTGGAGAGAGATCTGTGACCACCCACGTCGTCAAATTGCAAAATGGCATGCCATGTTGGAAGATTAAAAAAAAAAGTTGGAATGATTCTGCCATCCAGATTTGAACTGGTGCAACACTGAGTAGGCCTGAAATGAGGATTGGCAGTGTACGGTTTCCTGCTGGCCAATATCCATTGAACTTTTTGAAGTGGGTGGGGATGGGTGACAAAATAGGAATGGACTTTGATGTCATAGTTCAGTCACTCTGTTATAAATTCACTCATTTTTAAAGTTACTGGGGTTCAGGTGGAAGGTAGAGTGTGATGAAGGCAACCCTGTAGCTTTAAATTATCCCAAAGACTGCCACTGAGAATATCTTGGTAACATCCAAAATCATCTCCATGGCAACATCCATTCGTCACTGTAAATGTGTGCTGTGCAGAATGTCTTAAGTGTTGCTATGACTCTTTCCTTTCCTCGCCTCCTTCCTCTTCTATTTCTGCCTCTGTAGATAGTAACCTAGAACCATTGTAGGAAAACCAGATTCAGTCACATCTGACAACACTGTAAAAAATATGGATTATTACAATTTATTTTATAATGACAACATTTTATTCTAAAAACTGTAGGATGTTTTTATTAATTGTTTTGATTTCAGTTACTCTCATTATTTTTGGTAAAACCTTGTTTTATAAGTAGAAGTGGTAACATTGCTTAACTATCCTAAATGAGGGGGTCTGAGAGTAGACTGGAGTGGAATGCACTGGGGACAGAAATGTTGGATGCATTTATTCATGTGAGTGTGTGTTTGTCTTTGGGGGAGATTGTGTTAAACTTGTTAGAGACATGCGAGTGTGTGGATGTGAGCCACATAATGTTTACTGTTGGTGTTTTGTCCCCATTACTGTGAGCACAAAGAAGGAGGTGAACTGTAAATGTCTGTAACTTACTATAAAATAAGGCAAGACTAACAAGCATCTGATCTTTCATTTTACACAATTGCTCTTATCGTGTGTGCGTGTGTGTGTGTGTGTGTGTGTGTGTGTGTGTTGTAGCGAAGATGTTCCTACATTTAATTAGAAACCATATAATGTGAAATATCACAAAATATGAAATATCACCTTAATGGATCTTGAAGTAAGTTTAATCAGAAGATTGGATCTTTTTATTGCAGGGATTGAGCAACACTTCACATTAACTTCAAGAAAAAAGAGTGAGTCAAGTTTTAAAAGTTTAAAGATTTATTACTAAACAAATTAAAACTAGACTAACTTCAACACTAGGTGCATGGTGTAACTAAGGTGAGGTAAGACTGAGAACGGTGTATGTGTGAATATTTCAGAACCAGCAGATCCAGAGAAACTATTAGTTCTGATGGGAGTGAAGATGATGTTTCGCGCTAAGCTTTGGTTTGGAGATTTATAACGCACATTGAGACGCCATTCTGCTGGCCTACGTACCCTTTGTGGAGGTCCCTGTCATATCAGGAATGTTGAGGTCCAGCTTGACCTTTTCTGGAACTGAAGCCGGTAGGAAAAGCAGGGTTTGCCGACCAGACCAGTCTTGAGATACTTCCGGGTCACGACAGTTTTGTTGGCATCTAGCGAGACTCAAAAAGGGGTTGATGGTTCAGCTTTTATTCTGAAAGAAACCGTTGCAGCAGGTGGAACAGCAACAGATTTTGTCCAGCTTGTCGTCAGGTTCGTTCGGCTGAAGAGGAAAGTTATGGATTGGCCACTCTGACAACTTCACTAGAAAGCTTTGAACTCGAGTTAAAGATGATGTGGGCATAGTTTTATAATTCGGATGTTTTGACTTATGGTCGAATCAAAAAGGGACAGCTTTACCAAGCACCACCAAAACACACCTCGCATCAGACCTGGAAGGTTCTGAATGGATCAGTAAAAGCAATGTGTCATGTGACTTTTACATTACGTGTGTAATGAATTAGATTACGTGTTATTTAAAGAGCCATAAGGTGTGGGATTCCATAGGAAACAAGAAATCCACCTTACAGTTCTGTGAGTTACTTAAACCAGAAGATTGGAACTTTTTATTGCAGGGATTAGATAACAGCTTCGTATTCCCTCAGAGACAACAGAAGAGAGAGAGTCAAGTTTAAAAGTTAAGAATTTTGTTACTAACAAATTAAACTAGACTGACTTTAAAACTAAATGTATGGTGTAACTAAAGTGGAAGAGACGGTGAATGGGATGACGTGTGATGTTAATCAGAACCAGCAAATCCGAAGAAGCGATTGTTCTGATGGGAACTGAAGGTGATGTCTTCGCATTAAGCTTTGGTTAGGAGGTTCATAAACACATGAGACACCATTTGCCGGTCTACATGCCCTGAGCGGAAGTCCCCGTCTAGATCAGGAGGTGTAAAGGTCGAGATTGACCTTATGGAGCCGGAGCTTGTAGAAGAAGCCACGGCAACCGACCACCCGTCCTGGGATACGTCCGGGTCACGGCAATTTGTTGGCGTCTGGTGAGACCCAAGCCTGGGTCTTGATGGTTCAGCTTTTATTCTGAAAGGAACTGTTGCCGCTGTTGGAATAGCGACAAATTTTTCAGCTTGTCGTTGGTTCTTTCGGTTGAAGAGCATAGATCAGGATTGGCCACTCCGTCACTTTCTCTGGAACGCTTTGAACTGGCGTTAGAGATGACGTGGCATAATTTTATACTTCGGATGTTATGGTTTATTGTCGAATGAAAAATTACCAAACACCATCAAAACCACGCCTCCGTCAGATCTGTAAGATTCTGATTGGATCAGTGAAAGTAATGTATTGTGTCATTTTATTGCTACGTGAAATGAGTCCTGTTGGAACATTTAAAGTCATATTACTCATTATTTTCTATAGGATCATAATAAAGTAATTAATATTTTGATTTCACAGATCGGTCACATCTTATTCATTGACTAACACTTTGATGGATTAGCTTTGTTAAAATAGAGTTTTTTGATTAATTAAAAGAAAAGAGTTCATTCTTCATTCTTCTGTTGAGCTGAAAATAAGCTGGTTAGAAGGAATGCATGAGACCTTGAGACTTATCTCATGCAGACTAGTCTTGTGCAGAGGAGGGGGAAAACAGTCATTGCATCACGTTACACGTGTGATCAGTCACATCTAATAAAGACTTTTTATTGAACTTTTTACTGTGTTTGGTGTCATCACGGGTCTTCCAAGTTCTGGTCGTGACAAAATCAAAGAACTCTATTTTAATAAAGCTAGTCAAACAATGTGTTAGCCAACAATAAAATGTGAACCAATCTGTGAAATGAAAATAATAATTACTTGATATTATAATCCTATAGAATATAATAAGTAAATAACTTTAAATGTTTCCACTAGAGACTTTACCCGAAGAGGGCGAGGCAGGAGACAGAGTCGGAGAGGAAGCGTGGGTCAAAAACAGATCGGGACGGGCAGGTCCAGGGAACAGGCTGGAGACGTGGTAGAAGACAGCCAAGGGTCGTGGTGGCAGGCAGAATTCAAGGCAGGGGTCAGGCGTGAAAACGAGGTCTGGAGGCTGTGATGAGGCAAGGTGAAAGGCTGGAAGATCTACTGGCAAAGAGCGTTCAATAATCTGGCAGGGGACTGGTGGCTGGCTGGTGAATATTTAGCAGAGGGAGCAGGTGTGTGTAATGAGCTGATGACAGGGACAGGTGCGATGAAGGAAGTGGCTGAGGGCTTGATGTAGCTGAGGGCAGCAGAGGCAGAGGAGGGTGAAAGACTGGGAGTCATGGCAGATTTATTAAAAAGAAAGAGCTCTTTGTCTTCATTCTACTCTTGAGCTGGAAAGGAAACGGTTTTAGGAGCAAACGCATGACCTTGAGCAATATCTCATGCAGATTAGTTCTGTGTCAGAGACATCTGAAGAGAGAGGGTAAATAACCTTCGGTGGAACAGCTCCGACATCATGTTACAGTGTGTTTGTGTACTTGTTTTTATAGCTAAATGGGTTCATTACCGACATAACAACAAGCACAAGAGGACTTCTCATCAAAAAGGCGATGTGAATGTAAATGCATGGTTATCGAGCCTTTTGAGGCTCACCCTTTGGATTACAGGATGACTAAACAAACTATGGCTAGTCATTTAGTGTAAATGATAGTTGATTGCATGATGTCACCAGAGAGTAATGACAGTCAAATGTGTGTTTAAAATGCTTCCATTTAAAAACCAAATATTAAAGCTGCACTTTAAATGTGTTTTAGTCTTGCCACATCTGCCTTATTCTACAGAAATTCATATTACATCAAAACCTTTTAAATTCTAAACGTTGCACTTAATCTGCACCAGTGAATTTCTCAACCCTCACCCTGAAAGATGACATCACTGGGACCTTTTCCAAGTTGATGATGCGACAACGGCTGGGTCACTTAAGTGCTCCGGGATGAAATCATCCTGAATTTAATATCAGCTAAGTGGTTCAGGAGAAGGACAGCTGCTTCAGCACGCCTCATCCTTTTCCTTTCTTCCTTCCTGACTTTCTCTCTTTCAGTACAGACACAGACCTACTCTGACTTACATCAGTTGCTCTATGGCGGAGCCTCAGGAGAAGTGGGATTTTCTTATTTTTTTGGCCTAAGAGCTCCTTCGCTGATGCTGGTTTCTGTTTGGTTTCATGCATGTGATAAACCAGATGAATGGCATGTGTTCGTTTAATAACTGCCACTGTCGACTTTTCCAGCTACACTACGTTTAGACTATTTAGCTGATTTATGGTCAGCAAGTCTTTAAACGTGAACCTTTAAAAATTAAAAAATTCTAACATTTAGTATTAAGACTGGAACATTTGAAAATAGACAGTTTAGGGCTCTACATGTTTAGAGGTCAAACATTTAATCACCAGCTCAGTTATCTGACATCAACCCCATCCAACATCAGAGTAGCCAAGGGACACGCTGACATTTCACCACTTCTATAGATCATGTTTTAACAAAGTGTTCAAACAAACAGAGATTTTTTATGTGTTCAATCACATTCTATAATGGATGCAGTTGCTATGACAACTGTAAAGGATTCAGCAGCATGCTTTGTGGCATTTGCTGTGTGCTTATTGTAAGCCATCTCAGTGAGACAGTTAGCAATTAGTCCCATGAGACTGGATCATAGAGCATCTGAAATGAACCATAACTAGACACTAGGTCTATGCAAGCAGATGTGCTCTGACACATATGAACTCGTGTAGATCAATAGGTTAGCCATCCCCAAACATCAGCACTAACAGGTAAAGTCAATTTCAGTGAGTAGACAGAGAAAGGTTATCCATGTGTGTCCATTTGACTGCAAGAGCAATGTATTCTAGTAAACATCTTCTCAGCACACCAATTTAGATCATGGTTTGTCATTTCTATTTTTCAGTTTCCTTTGGCTTATCTAAAGTCAAGTAGTAATTGTAAATGATGCAGGAGGGAAACCCAGTGACACTTTAGTTACTCCTGGGGGATACCAATGCATCACCAAGCCAGAGAGGATATTCTATCACTCCGGGAAGTTCTAGCACTGCCCAGAATCTTCTCCCAGTGACAAATGCCTGGAAACCCTCTGGACAAGACAAATAAGAGAGATCTTAGTGAAATATTTGAACCAATTTAGCTGTTTTTGATGCGGAGGGGCAGTATCTTTACTCCAAGCTCTCTCTAGTTCAGTGTTTGTACATTACTTTCCATCACATCCTCCATAGAGAACTTACATTTTTGTACTCCCTCCTTCCAAGATGCTCCATGGCACACACACACACACACACACACACACACACACACACACACACACACACACACACACACACACGCACGCAGCCCTGCTGATCACACAGAGCTCCTCACTGTAAAAGTGATTCACAAGCTGAAAGACTGTGACCACCCCTAACTATCATTGCATTATTTCTCATTCTGTCTTAATATTCTTATCATATTATGACCCTTGACCTAATTTGTATGTATGTACTATTTCACTGATGCAA